GGGCGGCTGGGGCTGCGCACCAGTTCTCCGCGCCCACCCGCAGCGCCGCGGCTAGCGCTCGAGTTTGTAGGAGTTTGTTGGGTCGACTTTGGCGCCGCCCCGGGGCCTCTCGCGCTGGGCCAGGGACGGGCCGGGCGCCCGGAAGGGAAGTGCGCTGGAACCCGGGACCGAGCCGGTCTGGGCCGCGCGTGGGCGGAGTTGGCGGGTGCCCGGGCCCTGTCCTCCTTCCTCCGCCTCCTGCGGAGGGCGGAGTTACGGTCTCGGCACCCGGAAGCTTCGAGTTCCTCTAGAGTGAATTTTCGGAAGTGGCGGAGACGCCGTGAGGATAGCCTTTTGGTACATGGTTGTTACACAAATTGCTTCCAGTTGTGAGCGCTCAGAGCCTGTACCCTTAGGGGGCCAGGTTGTCCTTCCTTTCCCTTGCCCAGTCTAGGCATGCTGTCTCCTGGAACTTTGTTAGGTCAATCAAGATTGAGTTTGGGAGAGTAGTGGAGATTTAACATCTTCCAAGGATAGATCCCTTAGGGGGGCTCAAGGGGTAGAGCTTTGTTTTAGACGGTGGCTTGCTTTATAGTATTTTCAGTGAAAGATTTGCCAGGGCCAATTCTAAAATCATAGCTTTCTTGTAAGACTTGTTGCCTTGTGTCTCACCCTACCATTTCAGAAAAATGTTCGTTGGTCACCTGAGCTGGGATACCAGCAAAAAGGACCTAAAGGATTATTTTACCAAATTTGGAGAGGTCGTTGACTGTACAATAAAAATGGATCCCAACACTGGCCGGTCAAGAGGGTTTGGGTTTATTCTCTTCAAAGATGCAGCCAGTGTGGAGAAGGTAAGCTGGATACTTTATATTAGCAGTATATTATTATGACACCATTCTTAGTGCATGGTTAACTTGTGTGTTCTGCATATGGTTGAATGCTTTGGGAAAAGCAGCTCCTTGTTCCTATTTTTGAAAAAAGTGAGGTAGTGATTATGGACTGGAGTGGTCCAGGAAGATGGTAGTGAACGTTTATTGGCTTTCTGTACCTATTTTGGATACTGCAGACACTTCATTGTGAGGACTAGTAGTCTCTCCAAGGTTGCTATGAGATAGGCATTATTTTAGCTTCATTTTACAGAAAACTAAGGCTCAGAAGTTTAAGTAGAAGAGTTCACACAGGTAAAGTGTAGTGGAGTAAGGATTTCAACCCTAGCAGCCCAGTTTCAGCCTGTGCTGTTAATCACTGCTGCTTTAACTTCCGGAGATAGGCTTTAAACTGGGACTGCCTAGGCAGGTAGAGGCAGTGTACAATATAGCATGGGAAAAGTCGGAGGTGGGGGTGAGGACTATTATATGTTAATGAGCAGTAGTTTGAAGGTTGGGTTGGAAAGTCATGTTGGGGGTAGAGTTTGGAGGGGATGAAACACATTTTGTGTACCTTTGTACACAGGGGTTGCATTGCTCAAAGAGAAGAGCCTTGTTCAGGGTCATGCTGCTGACTTAGAACCCAACTTCCTTCTGTTGGAACAGGTCCTAGACCAGAAGGAGCACAGGCTGGATGGCCGTGTCATTGACCCTAAAAAGGCCATGGCCATGAAGAAGGAGCCTGTAAAGAAAATTTTTGTGGGGGGTCTGAATCCTGAAGCCACTGAGGAGAAAATCAGAGAGTACTTCGGAGAGTTTGGGGAGGTTAGTGTGTGTCCTGTTATCTGTCCTGAGGTATCCTTCCTGGTCCTTGACGTTCTTGACTGACTGGAACCCTCCTCTCCTCAGCAAGGCTATTTTATTGTTTCCTATGGTCCCTGGAGTTGAAGAGCTACTGGTCCTGAACTTTGCCTGTGTTTACAGATTGAGGCCATTGATCTTCCAATGGATCCAAAGTCAAACAAAAGACGAGGCTTTGTTTTCATCACCTTTAAAGAAGAGGAAGAACCTGTGAAGAAGGTTCTAGAGAAAAAGTTCCACACCATCAGTGGAAGTAAGGTAAGGTGTCTCCAGTTCTGTTTGGCCTCTTGCCAAGGGAGGGTTAGCCCGTGCAGTGCGGCCTAGGGGTTGGGCTGCCTCTTAAGAGCTCTCCAGGGTAGTGAGAGCTCATTGTTTTTTTGCAGGTCTGCTGCCCTGATTGGGGGGCAGATGGTCCTGCCCTTCAAGGAGCTCCTAGCCTGACAGTACTGGCAGTAAAAACAATGTGAGGAAGGCAGGAGAGTAGCATGCTGAGTAGTCCGATTCCTGATTTAAAACTAGAGATAAAGTTCTGAATCTAGAGTCTAAGGCCTATAGTTCTCAAAGATTTTAGAACTTCTGCCATTCACTGGTTTCTTCCCCTGGTGAAGTCTTTCTTGCTATAGAAACTGCTGCAGAGCTTTTGTCTTATTGCTGCCACAACCAAATCTTTTTTTTTTTTAAATATATCCTTATTGATTTCAGAGGGAGGAAAGGAGAGGGAGAGAGATAGAAACATCAATGATGAGTCATTGATCGAGCCCACAACCCGCGCATGTGCTCTGACCAGGAATCGAACCCTGATCGCCTGGATCCCAGGTTGACGCTCAACAGCTGAGCCACGCCCGGCCGCGCACAACCAAATCTTTATTCATCTCCAGCCCCTTTGGACACTGGTTTAGTTAACCCCATCCCAGTAAGATCCTTTCCAAAGAGCTCCCAGAGTCTTGGCTCATTTATATTCTGCGCCAGTTTTGCATTCAAATGAATGGAAGTGAGAAGTGCAGCTGTTACCCCCGAACTCTGGTCCAGAGAGAGGGTAGTATGGCTTTAAGTAGTCTCCAGGTGACAGTTGGGAGTTGAGGGTGTGGCAGGGTGTGACAGGCTCTGGTCTCTGGAGTGGGAGCCAGATAAGGTTGGACAGGTAGGGTGGGGCTCCTGGAAAATTGAGTGTCCTGGCTGGGAATTTGGAATTGGATTGGGCTCTTAATTTTCATGTAAAATGAGAGTGGATCCTATATGGCATTTGGATAAGACATCCGTTAGCTCAATGGATAGTGACACAGAGAGGCCTTTTTTCTTCCTGCTATAAAGAGAAATGGGCAGGAAGCCTTTAGGGCAGCACTAGTCAAACTGCTGGCAGTGGTCTTGAAATAGTGTATTTAGTTGTATATTAATTCAGTAGGGTAAACATCAGATTGCATCACTGGTGGGGGTAATTTGTCATTTTTCTATAGAAGTATGCTTGTATGGGGACACGTGTAATTTTTTTTTTACTGGTCCTTGTTGGGGGCAGAATGTATGTCAGGGTACTTTATTTTTACTTTTTATTGTTTTCAAATTGTAAGAAAGTTTATTTAAAAAGTTAAAAAGGTAGAAGTGAGCCAGCTGGGCTGTGTAGTTCAGGAAACAAGTTACAGAGCAATTTAGGAGAGGGAAAGGCAAAGGTAAGGGGGTGGTATGTGTGTGTAAGGAGGGGCATGAAAGGCTCTGGAGGGAGAGTGTTTTTGTTTTTCATTTTTTAAGGTTTAAATATATTTTTTTTGAGGTATCAGTCTGCTGCCTCCCGCACACTCTCCATTGGGGATTGAGCTGGCAACTTGAGCCTGTGCCCTGATCTGGAATCAACCCCTGAGTATCCACACCTGCCAGGGCTTTATTTTTATCTTTAAATTTTGTTTCTGTTAGGGATTTTCTTTTAAAAATACACTTCTGATTTATTTTAGCAGGAGCATTGGAAGGTCTGTTTGACCCTTCCTCCACTGTCAATGGGCAGGTTTTTGAGCAAAGCAGAAATTGACTCTGTGCCCTGAGGGGACATAGACATAGGCTTTTGGCCCATCCCAACTACTGAGCAGTGGTTGGGGTAGGGATGGGGCTAGCAGTATGGCCTCAGGCAAGCCCTGCCCTGAGCCTCAGTGACTTTCTTCCTCTGTAAGTTGGAAGTCAGGGTCATCACTATACATTTCAGTGGGATGCTTCATTTTTTTCCCTGTAAAAAAGTAAAATAAAATCAGAAAGTGGCCTTATTCTCTGCAGCCCACTTCTGGGAAGTCTCCTCTGATCCCTTTGCTTAGTAGGACCAAGGTGGTACCAGACCTGACAGTTTGTATGCTTTGCTATACTGGGCTGGCATTGGCCCAGTTGTCCCTCTCCTCCCAATTGTTAAACATGGAGCTGCCCTAACCCTGGGTTTGTGTCCATCATCCCATCCTTAGTACATTTTCTGGGGAAAGGTTGGAGCCAAAAAGGCCCCAGTGTGAATCTTGGTCTGTCTAGGTTTTAGTTGTGGTTCTCAGAGCTTCTACCCCAAATGTGGTTTCCCACCTTAGCATATTTTGTTGAGAAGATGGACCAGATCTGCCATCTGAATGTTTGTAAATGAAGCTCTTTGTGCATAGTCCCTCCCTGGAACTTGTCCCAGTGGCCTCACTTCCTGTCCTCTTGGCTTTTAGTGTGAAATCAAGGTGGCTCTGCCTAGAAAGGTCTATCAACAGCAGCAGTATGGCTCTGGGGGCCGTGGAAACCGCAACCGAGGGAATCGAGGCAGTGGTGGTGGTGGCGGAAGTGGAGGTGAGTGGAACCTAGATGAATATGGGTCTGGTTTCCCTGCCTGCATGGAGCTTCCGTGCCTCTTAGGTACTCAGTCTGGCATCTGGTGTGGCAAGGTGGGCAGGGACAGGAATGGCTCTCCTGGGTCCAGGCCGTGCTGCTGCTGATTGAAGTGGAAGAGCCCATATTTCCCATGTGGTCTGGGGCCCCAGGGCAGTGGGGCGTTTGCATTGCACTGAGGGGTAGGGGGGCCTGATGGGCTCTGTGGCTGTCCTGAGTCTTGGTCCACCCATGGGTGGGTGGGCAGAAGGTAGGGCAGGGCTGTGCCAGGCGCTTTATCTCCTTCCACTCTAGGCCCCTCTGACTCCAAAGCCTGAACTCTTAATCTTTTTTAAGGCCAAGCTGTCAGGGAGGGTGGGGGTGATAAGAGGGTGATCTGAGTGAGAGTGAGTTCCTGCCTCTTTGGCCCCTAGTGAAGTTAGTATTCTGTTCTGGCCTTCACCTCTGCAGCTTGGGTCTTAAGTGCAGGGTCAGGCTCAGGGCCCTGTATACCAGGACAGCAGCCCCTTGGCTTCTACCTCTTGAGTTGCCATAGTAACCCCGCCACCCAAAGGGCAGGATTTCCTCCATCCTAGCTCCTGCGTGTGCTAAATGGTCCATGGGCCCCTGTGCCCTGCTCCCCCCACAGGTCAGAGTCAGAGTTGGAATCAGGGCTACGGCAACTACTGGAACCAGGGCTACGGCTACCAGCAGGGCTACGGGCCCGGCTATGGCGGCTACGACTACTCGCCCTATGGCTATTACGGCTACGGCCCCGGCTACGACTACAGTAAGTAGGAGAGAGGGAGGCCCCATCCAGTCACCCACCCGGGAGGCAGGACAGATAGTGCAGGGGCCACTGGCAGCAGGGGCTTTTGGAGTCAGAGGGGCTGGGCTTTGTAGCCTGCCCCAGGGGTGTTGACTCTGGTGAGGATTTGAGCTAAGCGCCTGGCACAGGGATAAATGTTCAATAAATCTAGCTGCTATCATTGTTGTTCTTGTCCCTAGGTCAGGGTAGTACGAATTACGGGAAGAGCCAGCGACGTGGTGGCCATCAGAATAACTACAAGCCATACTGAGGCTTCAGCAAGAGTGCCCGTCTGACCGCACACGCTTTGTTTGGATACTGAGTGAACACAAACAATTATGTACCAAATTTAACTTGGCATACTTTCTATGGCCTGTCCCATGTGCATCTTATTTAAAATTTCCCCCCTGGAAATCACTCTCTTGTTTACTATTTCCAGAGCTCTAGTTGTTTTAGGCAGCGTGTGGTGTCTCAGAGGCCAGAGCGGCTTTGTGGGCTGATTTTATTACCAGGTTACCCAGAACCAGGTGGAAGGGTCCGTTTCCTGCTGCCACTCTGCAGCCTGGACCTGTGGACCCTGGTTGTAAAGAAGTCTATCTTAGGAAACCAGTGTCACCTTTTTTCACCTTTTAATTTTATATTATTTGTGTCATACATTTCCTGTAATGGAAGTGTTAATTTTACTGTACTTTTTGGTACCTTTTGGGAATCTAATGTATTGTAAGGTATTTTACACGTGTCCTGATTTTGCCACGACCTGGATATTGAAGCTATCCAAGCTTTTGAAATAAAAATGTAAAAACCCCCAAGCCTGGGTGAGTGTGGGATATGCGGTGAAAGGGGGAGGGAAAAGCCCTGCATAGGTCTTGGGCCCTTTTAAAGGAAGGAAATGGCTGGAGGTTTAAGGCAGCTGTTCATGGGGGGTGAAGACTACAGCAGGGATGCTATTTACTACCAGGGCAATGATTCTGAGGCACCTTGGAACACCTTAACTTACCAATGAAAATGGGGTTCTGTCTTCCAGCAGGACAGTGAACCTACATTTAAGTGTGCCCCCTCCTGGTTGAAATGTAATAGCCTGCTCTGGCAGCACCTATGTGCTCCTGGATTGGAACACCTAAAGTCTGGTGGCAAGAAGCAGCAGCAGGCTATTGGGCTCTAGGTGGATGCCCCATAAAGGAATTTTTTTTTGCCTCACTCCCGAGAAGGAAGTGGCTGCTCTTGTCCTCTTGCCCCAGCCATCAAATGCAAACAGTGTTGGAGATTTTCTGGTGGGGGGTGGGTGGAGAGAGCCCAAGGTAGCCAGAGCCTCCCAATGTTGAAACTAACCTGTTGAAAGTAACCTGTGAAAAGGGGACATCACTTGAAACAAAATTTACATAAACTTGTCTTGCTGAGGAGTACAGGAGCCACTGCTAATTGTTTTCAGGAACCCAGTTGTGGCCCACTCACCTAGTGAAGGACATGACTCAGCAGGGCTGCCACGGGGCCGGGGTCTTAGTGTCTCACAACTTCTCACCTTTCTTTCCATTTCTGAAAAAGACCCCAGAGCCACCCAAATTGGTTAACCTTTCTCTTCTCCTTAAGGCCCCTCCTGCCTTTAGTGTCTTAAGCTTCTTGGAAGGCAATTTGGAGATTGGGCCCACCCTTTACATATGCATGCACCACCAGCCACAGGGTCAGCAACAATTTCCCCAAAGGAAAAAGTCAACCCTCAAGTTGCCCAAGAATTCCAGATTCAACTGGAGGCTCCTCTATATAAGAAACCTAAGCCAGTTGTGTGCCCCACCTCACCCAGTTTACCATCTCCCAATTTTGTACAGTAGGGGTTGGCCCTCAGCTCCAGAGCCCTGGGGGCAGAAGTGAAATAGCCCAGAGGAAGAGGACAGGGAGGGGCTGCTCTGATCTCTACCAAGAGACAGGACTTTGCCAATCTAGGGGACACAGCCCTGCCCCCTGCCCAGAGCTCTTACATGCACAAACACAGCCTCAGTGCATTATATGTCTAGATTGGTAATTAAGGATTTCCTTGTTAATAGGTTTATGGGAGAACCCTGGGCTGACCTTGCTGTTCCTAGGTGATTGAGACTGTGGAGAGGAATTTCATTTTGTGTTCAATCTGGGTGTAAATCTCATTTCAGCCACTCAGCTGTTGGTGACCTCTAGCCTCAAGTAAAGCACGCCTGCCATCTATATTTCACAGTTGCTTTTAGGCCACATAATGAGGTGTAGTTCTGATGGCCGGGCTCATAAGCCCAAGTGTGGTTTCCTTTGTCTTGCATCTCACACTGGAGCCTGCTCAGGCAGGATGGGTGGTAGCCTGGCTCTCACCTACACAGTGCTTGGGAAGCCCCACCAGGCACAGACAGAAATGGAAACCTGGGCCAGTATGACCCCTCTCCACTTAAGCTCCTTGCACTGTCCTGAGGACACCCAGCTCAGCTGTTGAACCCACTCCCTGGGCACACTGGATGATCCTGGCTTCTGGATCCAGGTTGGATTCTAGGGACATGGTCAGCTGTCCCTTGGGCTTTACACTTACCAGTTAGGATGGCATCCAGCTTTGCTACCACGTGTTGTGCATTGTCCAAGCTGAAGCACATTGGGGGCTTAAACTTCAGGACATTTCTCCCAGGGCCATCAGTGCTCAGCAAAATGTAGTTCTCCTTCAACCTATAGGACAGAACAGCAAGGCCCTGCTCCCCACCATCCCAGGACCCTTCACACGGCCTTCAAGGCCTTCTTGAGCCTGGCCTTGGCCTGGCTAGGGCTCCAGCCACACTGCTCTTGGAGCCCGCCCTCCACAGGTCAGTTCCCCCCAGGACAGCACTGGCTACGCCTTGCAAAACTCGTGCCCGTGCCTGGCCAGGCGTGGCTCAGCAGTTGAGCATTCACCTAGGATCCAGGAGGTCGCAGTTTGATTCCCAGTCAGGGCACATGCCTGTGTTGTGGGCTCAATCCCCAGTCGGGGGCGTGCAGGAGGCAGCTGATCAATGACAACTCTCATCATTGATGTTTCAACTCTCTTGCCCTCTCCCTTCCTTTCTCTGAAATCAATAGAGATATATTTTTAAAAAACCCACAAACCTCATGCCTGTCCTTTGTGTCCTGGCATTGATGGCCCATGTGGGGTGTCCATCTGAGCCTGCTGCCCCTTGGAGCAGGGGCGTAGTCTCATCTGTCCCTGGAGTCCCAGTCTCCTCTAAGCCAACACTAGCCCTAGGGCTACAATGTATATGTATGTATGCTTTGTATATGTATGGAAAATGTTCAACATTACAGAGTGGTACAATGAACCCCATGTACTCTCACCTAGCTTCAGTAACTTCCCCTGCTCTGTGTGCACAGGTGATCTTGCAATCCCAGACAGCACTGTCAGTTTTCATTTCCAGTTCTTTTTAGGATAACCTTACCCTACTTAATATCATTGGTACATAATCACTTTTAATATTCCACAGTTAGACTTAACCTAGGAAGGTGCCCTGGCCAGGTAACTTCAGTTGGTTAGAGCATTGCCCCAATACACCAAGGTTGCGGGCTTGATCCCCAGTCAGGGCACATATAAACCAGCTAGTGAATACATAAGTGGAACAACAAATTAGCTTTTCTCTCTCAAAAAGGCCCACAAAAACCTAGGAAGGTATTTTGGCCACTGAGAGAAGGGGTCTGACATGATTGCTTTTATACTCAGACCTCCACTCCCATTCCTTTTTTACTTATTCTGTTATTTAAGTTGTCAGGAGCCACGGTATCCCTGACTATGGCATTGCTAGAGAGAATAAGGTCTGGACTTCAAATCTAGCTCTGTCACCTACTAGCAGGGTGACTGCAGGTAGAACACCCATCCTTGGTACCAGTTTCTTAACTGTGAGACAGAGGAAAATAGGCTGGGCCTCAGATCTGCCTCTCTCCTTCCCATGGGCCATGCTAGATTCCTGAGTCTGGAGGCTAGGGGGGTGGGGGATGGGGCAGGTGACTGGGCAGATGTCCCTGACCAGCAGAGGGAAGGCAGAACTGGTCACTTAGGGGAGGAAGGGTCAGTCCCAAAACTGTATGGAGGGAAGTATTTTTACATTAATTCAAACTGTTTACGTGAATTCCAAAAAGAATGATAGACATTTCCCAAGGGTTTTCTGAGGTGGGGAAAAGGAGTAAGGAATAGAGATAAAAGGGAATAACAAGGGGGGAAGGGTCCTGAGGCTGGGGTCTTGCCAGGGTTTAAGTGAAAAATGTGAACTGGGTTGGGTGGGGGCTTCTGAGTCCTGAGATGCTATGCTCCATCTAGATACATTCTACCCAGACAAGAAGCAGGAGTCCTGTCCATCTCCCTGGTGTGGCCCTGGAGAAACTGCTTTCCTTGGGCAGCCAGGGTCTGAGAGCCTGGCATCTTGGCAGAGGTGGTGCTCAGGCTGGCAGTGGTCCGTGCCTATCTGAAACCTTTGCTGCTAGGCACTGGGTACAGACCTTAAGTCACTTTATCTGTGGACCTCAGTCAAAGGGATGCACAAATTGGCCACCCCTTCTCCTCTCAGAGACCCAGAGTGCACGGTGGACGGAAGGAGAGGCAAGAGGAAGGCTCCTTCCCCATCAGAGCCCTAGACACTGCAAAGGCAACTTGTTTGAAGAAAAAGTACCTGGATACCAAGTAGTCAGCTTCTTCGGTGGCTGGCGTCCTTGTGGCCTCATCTTTGATCAAATCCACACCAATGAAGAGCCCGACGCCCCTAGAGCAGAAGACAACATCTCAAGAGTTCAGGCCTGAGGGATCACGGGCCTTGCCCTCTGCCTGGGTCTCAACCAAGCCCCACTGGAAAGTCCACCAGGGCTTGTACCTGTGTCTCCTGGGGAGACAGAGAGCCACAGGAACGTGGTTGTGGGGTGTGTGTGTGTGTAGGAAGTAACTGCAATTGGGAGGGGCCCTCAGTGGACAGGGGAAAGGGGGGGCGGGTCAGAGCTACTTGATCCTGGCTTTTCCCCTCAGAAGGGCCATCTTGGGCAACAGCCCCTCAGTGCTTCAGTTCTTCCCCTGTGGAGTGGAGAGTAAAACTCCCATCACCCTGGTGGTTAGGAGGTAAAAGATGGAATGTCTCCAGGCCTCTTGCAGGTGCTTGGTGTGGATAATGACTGCTGCTCTCAGCCTCACCTGATGTCCCCGATGATGGGATGTTTGGCTTTCTGTTGCCCGAGGAGCTCCATCAGGAAGCTGCCCACACAGGCTGCGTGAGCCTGCAGCTGCTCCTTCTCTAAGACGTCAAGGACGGCCAGCCCCACTGCACAGGACACTGGGCTGCCTGCAAACTGAGCCAGGGGCAAAAAGCATGTCAGACGACCACCAGAGCAGGCCATGTTCAGAGAAGGTGAGGGCAGCAGAACTGCCCCACACATTCCACGGGTAGTGATAAGAGCACAGGCTCTAATCCCTCAGGATTCAGAGTGCTGGGCAGTAAATGGGGCCCCTGTGGGTTGTACTTGCCTTTCCAAGTGCTAATGTGACTGCAACCCAGGTCAGGTACCCCCAGAGGTGCACTCTGAGAAGATACAGAGTCAGAGAAAACAGCTGTACTATATACATTCCCACAGAGCTGGTTTTGTTCTGGAGGCTTTGGGGCCCTATGCATTGGACCATTCCCATCAGCTCCAAGGAGATGAAGAGCAATATGCCAGAGTCACACCCAGGAAAAGCCACTCTGTGTGGTTTGAGCTAATGGCTCTGCTGGCTGAACCCAGGACAGATTTTAGGGCACAGGCTACAGCTGGCCTGTGAGCCATGTGTGGCCTGAGGATCCATTTTGTTTGGCTTGTGTGGCATTAAACGTTTTGAGTTAGGTGCTAATGCTTTAAGAGACTTTGTACAAAAATAGGAATTTTTGCCTTAAACCTGGCCTACCTGGCTACCCTGGCCCTGTGGGTGGTGTGAATGGGGACATGCACCGTAGAGAGCAAGAAGCAAGTGTTTCTCCTGCAGACCATCTTTTTTCTTTTACTTTTGTGTTGTACCCTCTTTTTTCCTCAAACTAGATCTTAAAAAATACTTTTTGAGGTATAGTTTACATCCAATAAACTGAATATATGTATTTATTTTTAAGTATATCTTTATTGATTTCAGAGAGGGGAAGAGAGAGAGATAGAAACATCAATGATGGGAGAGTCATTGATCGGCTGCAGCCCACAACCCGGGCATGTGCCCTGACCGGGAATCGAACTCTGATCACCTGGATCCTAGGTCGATGCTCAACCGCTGAGCCACGCCCGGCTGGGCAAACTGTATATATTTAAAGTGTATACAGTTGTTCACCACTTAACTTAGGTGATTTGTCATGTGAACATTAAATAGAGTGCACTTACACACACCTATATGATACAGCCTATAGCTTTATAAGGAAAGAAAACTTTCCCTCTACCCTCTGTGTTCCTGATGGAGATAAACCTGTGACAAAAGACATGAACAGGAGAAGAACAAACAAAAGTTTAATATATGTAGGAGAGACCCAGGAAAACTGAGTAACTTGCCAAAATGGTTGACCACCACCACCTTAAATACCATGTCCAGCTGCAGACAAAAGATGCCGGGGTGGGGGAAGCCAGTTAAGGGGGGTTACCAGGAAAAGCACAGTAAACCAGGGTAAGGTTATGCAGATTTAAGTTATTTCCTTCTGCACTGATAAGAGTTTCTAGAGATAAGGTCATCCCTTCTTGGTACAGAGAGGGAGACACCCTTAGAAATGGATTTCCCTTATAACTAGCTTACAAAAGGGTCACTTCTACTTGGTTTTCAGAGCTTTTCCCAAATCTGCTGTTTCTTAAAATTAACCAGGCTCAAATAATTCTTATGCCAAAGAAACATATTTTGGGGTGACATTCTTTTCCCCCTATATCTCCTAGGCTACAAGGCTTTACAGCATATTACTGTACTGAATACAGTAGGCAATTGTAATACAATTTTAAGTATCTATATAATATGTTTTTTACAATTGCTATGACATCACTAGGCAATAGGAATTTTTCAGCTCCACTATAATCTTATGGGACCATCGTCCTATATGCTGTGGATGAAAAATGGGTTCTGTTGGAAGTAACCTGGTGATCTGATGACAAATTCCTAACTGGGCAGGTCTTGGTGGGTATTCATGCCCTAGGCCTAAAACTTCTTTAGTAAAAGGTTTACCTTTGCTTTAAGTCAGCCCTGTCCATTGTTTCTGTGCATCTAGGTTAACACACCTTTGAAATAAACCACTCAAGAAAGCACATAATCTTAACTATCCTGTAATCAAGTCCTCACCTTGCTTTCTCCCACCTTCATGTGATTTTCCTTAGTTCCCTCTCTAATTCAAATGCACAACATCCCGGAGGAAACAAGATGGCGTAGGTAACAGCTGCACCCGCTGCCTCCCGCAACCACATCAAAATTACAACTAAAATACAGAACCACCATCACTCAGAGCCTCCTGAAATCTGGCTGAACAGAAGCCCTACAACCAGGGAACTGAAGGAGCATCAAGAGCGGTAGGAGGGAGGGAGACGGGGGCGGATCGGGGATGAATCGAAGACGTGGCTGCGGGCCCACACTCAGTACCGCGGGTAAACCCGGGAGGGAATCTCAGCAGTGGGGGTTTCCCAGAAGAGTGAGGGGTCCCAGCCCCACAGCAGGCCCCCAGTCCAGGGCTCCAGG